TGGAGTTATTACCCTTGGTTTCATTAATGCGATGCATGCGTTCCATGATGTTGTATTGCACTCATTGATCTACCAGTTATGTTGAATGATTTCTCTTTTAATATCAATTACTCACAAATACTTCATATATTTCAATCATACAAACAACTGCTCATTCAATGTGTGACGGGCGTATTATATACCGCTCGCGGTAACCTTGTTTTAAGATATATTTGTCTGTTTGGCCCTTTTCAATTTAAACAAAATCGTATAAAAGAAGCAAACATATTGAGACTATATGCAAACAACAGGCCTAGATGAAATGATCAAGCTTTACTTTTGTTGTATTTATAAATGTTTACATATCTTGTTCATATTTTACTTGCCTAGCTGTGATATTGATCAGACTTGTGTGATGTTGAAGTGATCTTTAATGTTTTTCTGTTAAATGTCTGGAAATAAAAGCAAATCAGATTTGCGAAGTTTGGCTGAGTCTAGTCTTTGATTTAGTTATAGAAGGGACATTGCCTAACGGTACAAGTCCTCAGTGGTAGACTGAAAGAGAGTCAGAATCATTATTTTTCTCCTCATTTTACATTTAGGCATCTCCTTTAGAGCTGATATGGAATCTTCCACTGGTCCTCCTTAAGATCAAAGATAAGGTAACATTTGAGTGACGGAGGCACGGTAGTCTAGTGGTAGGACACCAGACTCATGACTGAAAGGTTGCGGGTTCAAGTCACGGCACAATGCTGTGTTGTATCTTTGAGCAAGATACTTTACTCAGCTTGTTCCAGTCTACTCAGCTGTAAATGAGTATGTGGTTGGGCAGTGCTAAAATTGTTGAATGCTAGCTGTGAGCACCGAAATTGCAGCACCGGCTGTATGCTCCCCAGGGAACTGGGAAAGATATTGGCTGGTTGCAAAGGTCCTGTAACTACAGTTAATAATTTGTGAACCGCTTTGAGACAGTCTACGAATTAGGTTGTGATAAAGCAATATAAAGGAACCTCAAATATCATTTTTATTATTATGCAAATATAGACTTATAGAATAGCTTTTGTAATATTTGGATAAATCATTTCAATCTGTTTCACTGTTCCTTACAATAAAGTTATACATATCCATGATGGTGCCACAGTGGTAAACTTGGTATTGTTTCTTGCTGTTACCTAGAGAGAACTTCTCTTTAGATCAGTAGAGCACTGGATTATAATCTGTCCTCATGAATTCAACTCCTGGGAGAGGCACTTACTATAAAGAACAATGATCTCTTTAACATTGCATTCACAAGCATGGATGTACTCAAGAAGACTCAACAAGAGATGTGTCACAGTGGTGAACCATCTAGTCTCTTGTTACTGTCTTGACTA